TAAATTCAGTGCTTCCACTTCCACTTTCAAAAAAATCATTTCCTTCCCAACTGCTCAAAATTTCCTTATTTTTGACAAAAATTCCTTTGATGAAGATGAATTTTACCTAGTTTAAAACTGATATTACAACAATTTATCCTGAATGACGGTGTATGTCTCGGGTGAGAAACACCATGAACCTTGCAATTATAAATTATAAATTAATTATAAAAAACTGCAACAGGAGGCTTGAGGTCATGTCTCAGAAATTTTTCAGATTTTTCATTCCCCAGGAGTAGGATTTTGATTTTTGACATTTCCTGACGCGAATTTGCTTGGGAATTGCTATAATCTTAGGATTTATTAGAAATAACATAATATCCTTATTTCCTTGCTGAAAACAAAATTCCTTGCCGTTTCCTAGTAAATTTTATTTCTTTTTGCAAAGAAATGTCCTTGCAAGTGGAAGCACTGCATGGGATGACCAGTGTAGGCAACAGTTGAAGCCTCCCCCTTTTCTCACCCTTCGCCCCTCACCCCCTCCCCCCTTCCATTATTAATGATTGGTCCCTTATCTGTGTAACTATAAAATACGGTTCTATTTTATTTCATTTTGCTAAGTAGGAAAATTCAGAATGTTTTAATTTAAATAGACTATTTTATACATATCTGCAAATTGTAATCCTGAATCACGGTAAATGTAAAATAGGATTAAAATAGTGTATTTTATTATATTTTGCAAATTAGGGAAAGTAAATAGGTTTAAAATAGTATATTTTATCCCTATTTGAAAAATGTGGCAGTTTTAAAAATGTGCAATAGGTTTAAAACAGTCTATTTTATTCTGTTTTGCGTATTCTGAAAATAAATAGCTTTAAAATACTATATTTTATATCTATTTTAATTTATGTAATATTCTGCACGTGCAAAATATGTTTAAAATAGTCTATTTTATTGTTATTTTGCTAAATATGAAAGAAAGATAGGATTAAAATAGTATATTTTATTCCTGTTTGAAATTTGTGCATTTAACTTCCAATGTAAAATAGGATTTAAACAGCCTATTTTATTTTATGAGTTTAAAAATAGTATATTTTATATCTATTTTAATTTCTAACTGCTTTCTGGTGAAGTAAAATAGAATTTAAATAGGCTATTTTAAACCTATTTTTTCCCTGAGGCTCTGGAAAATAGTATTAAAATATGCGACTTTATTTCTATTATCTATAAAAATAGGAATAAAATAAAGTAAAACATTAATAAAATATGGCTCTTTCTTTTAGTGAAATATTATGATAGAATTAAAATAGGGTTGCCTCTGAATAAAATAGCATAAAAGTAGGGATGATAGTAATAAAATAGTTTTAAAATAGCAATATAATATAGTTATTTTCGCAAGGGGCCCGGCCTCTTTCGCTCAAGCAAATGCAATAAACTACGGAAGCTCGGAGTGAATCAATCATATGCAGTGCAATTCGCTATACCGTCCCATACCATACGAAAACACAATACCCAATAACCATTTTATTAAAGGCGAAAGGTAATCACTATAGCCTAGCTAGTGTTCTTTTCAACAATATAATCTTGCGAAATACACGACCCGCTCGCGTAGAAAATTAACAAAATTAACATTGCTAAAACCAGACAGGAATCATTCATGCGTCGCAATCTCAACTGAACTAAAATAAACGAAAGCGAACTTGACGGTAAATAACCCCGCACAATGACCGAAATACACATCAAATGATTCTACGGAACATACAACAGAACTGTAACTAAAACCACAAGTGTAAGCGATCCTTAAACACACACAGAAAAGAGGCGACCGTATTTGTCGAGCAGCCGCCCACGAGTGAACCATGCATGCTGCGTTATACAACGAAAAATAACTTCGCCACACCGAGCATATACTGCTAACAAACCGATAACCGCCCAAAGGGCAAAAATCTGAACTAGACCCGCAAAAAAACAAGCTACAATTCAGACAAATACCAATATGAATAACAGAATCACGTCCAAGTCCAAGTTTGGTGCCTGAAGCTGTTCATTTTCAATTGGATCATTCACCGAGGAAACTGGTTCATTCTGAGGCGGAGCGGAATCAAGATCAATCTGTTGGGCAACAGCATTAATTCGCAAGCCCGCTTCTTGTAAACATGCAAGGAGGTCGAACAGGCGTTGAGCCATACTGTAAAGTCTGTAAATTTCTTTATCTTGCACTTCTCTTGGCGATCAGCACAGAAAGAGCAGTTACAACATGTAAACTAGGGTTTTATGCATTGTACATCATTATTTATTCATAAAACAACATTAATTACTCAAATGCCATTAGTTAATCAGCTTCCGTGGCGCGTTTGGCCAATTTGAATAGAAATCCATTTTGATGTATTCAGTCAATTATATCTTTCGTTATTCTTTATGACACTAATTGAAATTTTGTAATTATGTTTGGTTATGAGAACTACAGGGTGTCTCAAAAAAACCCAAAATCATTGAAATTGACGTATTATTCGATATTCAATGCCCTAGCACTAAGTTAATCCCACGAGTGCATAAAAGATTGACATAACTGCTATAATGAATGGTAATACTCAGCGTAAACTTGTTATGTCAGGCATAAAGAACTAAACCCACGAATTTACGAAGCATTTTTAAATTCCCATGAGCAAACAAACGTTCACTTTACAAAGATATTTTAATTTTTTAAAACAAATTAATCACCCTGTCAAAATCCTTTGTGTTACGGCATTGAAATTCGAACAATACGTTATTTCAATGATTTTGGTTTTTTTTGAGACACCCTGTATATATATATATATATATATATATATATATATATATATATATATATATATATATATATATATATATATATATATATATATATATATATATATATATATATATATATACTGAAGACTATTTTTCTGAGTTTCACGCTTTACGCGATCATCAGGCTACATGTTGCCTGATGATCGCGTAAAGCGTGAGACTCAGAGTAGCGACGCAAACATTCAAACCTTGACTGAATTAATCCCGCTCTACTTATTATGGTATTGAGCGCTCTTCTACCTTACGCACAGCAAAAAATCATTTTCTTATTTTGAGAAAAAAAAAACTTGTTTTAAGAAAATTTTCTTGAAATAAGAAAATATTTTCTTGGGAGAATAACAAGAAAATTTTCTTAATAAGAAAATTTTCTTAAGAAAATTTTTCTTATTAAGAAAATTTTCTTGAGAGAAATTCCTAAATTGAGAAAATATTTTCTCATTTTAAGAAAATATTTTCTCAAATCAAGAAATTTTTCTTAAAAAGAATTTTCTTATTAAGAAAATTTTCTTGTTATTCTCCCAAGAAAAAAAATTCTTGAAATAAGAAAATTTTCTTAAAATAAGAAAATAATTTCTTATTTTAAGAAAATAATTTCTCAAATCAAGAAATTTTTCTTAAAAAGAATTTTCTTATTAAGAATGTGTTGTTTGGGTGTTTATATGTACAGGTACTCAGGTGAATATTGTTTTTGACGTTACTCTGAGTGTATATGCAGTTAGCAGAGCTTTGGAATAGTGTCCCAAAGGTTGCGGGTTCGATTCCCACCATGGTCAGGCTAACTTTTTAGCCTGCCCGGTGTGGATATACACTCAGAGTAACATACAAAACATCAAATTATTGTCAATTTATACAAGTTCTTTTTTCAGCTGCACTGTTACACAACTAGGTGTAGTTCTGATTGCACAGGAATGTGTTGTTGCAAATTTAAGTTCTCCTGAAGACCTGAAGCAGTAATTTTTCAACTCTTTCCACATGACATGCAAGCAATATTATCTGACAAACCGTTTGTTCAAAGTCCATAGATTTCTTTATAATGCACATTAAACACTGTTCCAAACACATCATGCAAATGCCACTGGAGATCCATCATATATACATCCTTATACAGCTAGTAATCTGTAAAAGTTTACTTACATATTGAGAATGTAAGCATCACTCTAAGTATTATATATAATTATTATGTGGTGTATACAGAAATATAAATGAATTTATTAGCGATTTTCAGCAGCCTTTCGCGCTTGTATTCGACTTTTCTGCTTTGCTTGGGGGACAACCTTAATTGAAATAGCTATACTGTATCTATACAAAATTGCAAGAACAATAGACCTGGAGACTTGCTTGCTAATCTGAATCACTCCTCAGTTACCTAAGTTAACTAGATTAAAAAGCATAGACGGATTTTGTGGGGGGGGGGGGTGCTACCCCCCCTAATATTAGCTATAACTCCTCCCCCAAACAAAATGACCACCCCTCCAAAAAACTATTTCAACACCCGCCCCCCCCCAACATTTGGCATAATAAAAAATAATTAAATAGTCCACTCCAACATGCAGAGTGTTGATGATATAAAATAAACGTAGGAGTACACTCAAATAGAAACAGACAGTGCATTCACTGGTTTATTGGAGCAATTGTAAAGTTTTGAAACACTATTATCTCCCCTGAATAGAGTTTGCAGTGCCTTCTCATGCAAATAGCTTGCTCGGAAGGAACATTTGGATTTTTTATGAACATTATTTTTAGTTTTTAATTCTTTTAGGAAATAGACTTGCCTAGATTTAATCTTTATGCCCCAATTATTATTTACATCGGAGTTGCATCATAAAATGTATTCGGATTCAAACGACACAATGTCAATGACTTTATAAAACTGGTAAAAGCATATTGTGTATTGGCCTATTAGGTTCATTTTACGTTTAACACTCCCAAGTCTCATCAGACAATCAGACATGCCAAATCCATTGATATGACCACTTCAAAAAACTTTTTCAAAGCTAGGAATCATGATTTTTTTAAATTTCTCCAGGGATACTTTGTTTTCTGCTTTCTAGACTCCCCCTCACATCTCTAGTGCTCCACCTCTAGAATATAGACCTTACTGGTGTATGGTAACACTTTGTGATGCTTCAGTCACCTGCTCACGGCTTCCCACCCCCTAAAATTTCTGGCACCATGCGCCACAGTAAAAAATATGAAAATCTGTCTATGTTAAAAAGACAGACGAGTATTAATTTTATGACTTATTATTTATAATATAATTAATTTATAATATAATTCATTAATATAATTAATTTAATATTATTTATAATATAATATCATTCTTATCTAATACAAAGGGTTTATTGTTTAATGTTATAATCGGCCAATCACCTGTTCATATTGGTAGAGGACGAATGAGGGAGTATTAAACTACATATGTTTTATATAAATTTTATTAAGCAGAGACATGGCTGTAGGCAGATACAGATGTCCTGGATTCAGTTATCATTTTCTTGTGGCAAGTGCCCAGTAGACTATTATCCCTTATTCACGCACCAAAGCTGCAATATTAAGAAATGTAATAATTTGTCCAATACCATATCACACAGTTACTGACAGTATAGTTTACTTCCGGTTGCTGTTCATGGTTCTTTAAACCAGCTGTACAATGTATTTATATGGAAGCTGGGCTGGACCGCTTAGCGGGACAGGCCGGTAAGCAAGATCTTACTGCATTAGGTATATTTATCTAGAAAAAATTATCATCTGTTTATATGGATCCACAAGCAGGCTGGCTCTGATGCCACAATGTTGCTTATTGGGATGAAAATTTCTCCACATATACACTCACAAGCAGGCTGGGCCAGGATGAATGTTCAAAGATGCCGAGCTGCAAGCTATTTTTAACAACTGTCAAAACAATGTCAACATAACAAAATTGTCACGGCAAGCAGGATGGCATTTTCTCATATAAACACAATCTTGAACTGTATTAGTGATGCACCGATATATGGAAATTCACAGATATTCTGATAACTGATAATAAAAGACCAATACTTTGCCGATACCGATAATACATGTCATTTCACGAAATTCAAAGTTGACTGATACACCAATATGGATATCAGTACATCAGTAGGCGAGTTAACAAAAAGCAGTCTATTTATATGAAATCAAGTTACCCAATTATTGCTGCGCAATGACAAAATACAAACACAATTTGGATCATTCAAAAGGTTTAAAAAACATAATTACAAAATAGGCAAGAATAAGCTGCTAGAAATAGAGGAAAGCTATAAACATACCTAATGATTTGTATGTATTTTTGGGCTATTATTTTAAATGAAAGGCATATACATTCTATCTAGGGTTGCAGAGTTTCCCGGGTGAAGTATAGTAAGTCGGGAAAACTAAACATTCTCTACAGTAGCCAAGTTATCCGGCAAGGCAAGTAGGAAAATCCTCTGGCATTAGACAGAGTAAACAATAAAGTAGGAAGCAATTCAGTTATTCAGCTATCTATACACTGAAAATATCAGATTAAATGCTGTCATTCTCCTGTAATTCCAATCCTTATTCAAGTATTAAAATGCTAACAGATCTTCAAAAACATCCGTATGTATAATATCTTATTTCCTATCACTATATAGCCTTGAGTCTTGACATTTGAAAGGTCTAGCAAACTGCCAATGTCAAAGGCAATTTAGTATTGTCAAATTGTTAATATTAGTGCGTAAATTAGTATGGAATTCACAATAATAGATATGAATTTATGTTTTAATCTTTCGTCCCTTGCCTGAAAGCAACATTTGCATGTTTTATATGCAAAACAAACGCGGCAAATTCAAGCATTCAATGGAATATTTTCACACTTCGCTCAAGTAAACAGTCATAATCACTACATTATTTCGCAATGAATCTGTTTAAATAACAAGTCAAATATACAATTATTCTTACCTGTGGTATCTGAACAACATTTTAAGGACTTTCTGACGCTTTTCCCATCGTTATTTGCCATTTAAATTGCCTTGAAGGCGCTGTTTAATCCATGGATATTTATATAAAATTTTTCACAAAAATGTAAAACGACGCTATCCCGCGATGCTCCGCGTTCTAAAAGGTAAACTAGGTACCAGGCGTTTAGTGAATACGCGAACTTTGGCGAACTATTCCTGCTTGGATAAAAATTCCGGAGGGCAAAAATTCTCTTCAACGATTCAATAAAACTGAAACGAGCTCAAATTTTGGAAACGAAATAAAAACAAAGTGACTATATTACCGGCAGCCGGTCTAACTCTCAAAAGGTTAGGGTTAGGGTTAGAGAAGGGTTTGGGATTGGGGATCGGTTTATCTATCTAAACTAACTGATTACTGAAGATTCAACTTTCACTATATAGTCAATGTACTGCCGGCCATTTAGTGTTTGATCAACCGTGAGCTGCCGGTCATATAGTCTCTTCAATTCGAAATAAAAACTACAAATTTACCTGACGCAATAAGATATACGTTGCTCTAAGTCTTGTTAAGATATAAGTTGTCCTATAACACTAGCATTTTACATTTTCTTGCTTCGAAAATTTAAGTAATGATGTCTATACTATTTTATAATTTTGTATTTTAAGAATTTCATTTCTTGTCTTACGAACATATTCTTAAAGTAAGAAAATCGTATTTTCTTATTTTAAGAAAATGTTTTCTTATTAAGAAAGTAAGAAAATCGTATTTTCTTATTTTAAGAAAATGTTTTCTTATTAAGAAAGTAAGAAAATCGTATTTTCTTATTTTAAGAAAATGTTTTCTTATTAAGAAAATTTTTTCTTATTTTAAGAAAAAGATATCTTGGGATTCAAAAATTTCTTATTTCAAGAAAATTTTTTTTTACTAAGAAAATTATTTTCTTATTTTAAGATTTTTTTCTTAAATTAAGAAATTTTTTTCTTAATAAGAAAATGATTTTTTGCTGTGGATGTAGTCATACTTGTTAAATAATAAATATTTTTATTTTGGTTGTATTTCGCTCAATATTGCATGTAAATTCAAGTGTTATATAACAAAATCTAAGTTAGTCCTTTCTGAATGCAATGATCTTTATTTCATAGCGATAGCTTTTATAGCTTTTACGTTACATGAGATCAAACAGTATCCAGTTTTTTTTGGACACCCGCGGTATATCATTTTTCTTTAGATTGGTTCAAAATATGACCTGGTCGCCACTTTCGGACCGGTCGCTCCAGATGGCTATGGAATTTGTTACAATCCTCAGAGTAATTGTGTACGATATTCTATCACGGCGTTCAACAGCAACGCACAAACTGACGCCGTGAAAATGGGTGAAGCTGTTCAACAAAGTTTTGATCAAATTGGAATGATTTTATCGTCAGCACATCTCTGAGTGGAACGTATGTATATACTGTAGTTAGGTTGTGAAAAGGATATAGTATATGGTTGCAATTAAGTCTCTGCAATTAAGTAAATTGAAATGGAAAATATTGATATGTTCGGAAACTGAATGTAAATTTCTAGTTTGGGGAATATTAAGAGGCAATTTATTTCCATGTCGCGGATTTGCGACGAAAAGCTTTCAAAACCTTCTTGACGTATTTCTTTTTTTGAACAGCCGAGCCCAAGAATTTCAGGTTAATAAGCCACCTAACATAATATCTGCAATGATCTAGCTATAGCCTAGTATAGGTATGTTTATTTTCTCCTTAGAATATATTTCCTTTACCACGCATTAATTTGTAAAATAATAAAAACACTGCATTTGTTTCATCCACAATTTTTTTTCATATTATAAAAACAACACGTCACACACACCCCTGTTCAAATCCTCAACGGGAATTGGTAGTAAAATACCTATGAAAACCGATTCTTTAAGGAGTAAAAAACTACCCCCATTGAAGTATTGATCTTACATAAACTTTAATTTCCGGGCTTTTTACTGTTGGTAAATGCATATATGAGCATGTCAAAAATTTCCTTAATGTATTGCTAGCTTTGATCAGAGTGAGGGAATGTTATTTCTTTTCATTTTTATAGTCTGTAGTATAGTCCTGTTTTAAATAGATATAATTGAGAGATGAAGTCACTATACTCTGTGCTTCAATTTTCTTTACTCGTTACTTTTCTTTACATCGTCTGCGGCCCCAGCGTAACACTTAAATTTTTGCGTGTTGACATATTCGGCTGTAAAAAAGTTAAAAAAAGGAAATTAATGTTTATATTCAGTAAATATTTACACAAAAAGGGCAATTTCACTCTCATGCACCAATTGTTTTTGCAAGGGATACATATTATTTTTTTATGACATCTATATAGAACGAACCATTGTGGCATGTTTAAATTAAACATGATGTATGTATACACATTTCACTGAGATGCGATCCAGCACGTTGCATCGTTTGACGTCAGATACTATACCGCATTTTGAAACTTTATTTCGCATTTCAACATTTTTAAGTCCCGTTTCTATGGTGATGTCAACACCTGCTCGCTAGGGCTGCCGGAACATAGACGTTGCAGGGGCTGAATTATCAAAGGGGAGAGACAAAGTGTTTACCTAGATTAGCACGAAGGAGACTAACCATGGGGGTCCTCCCCCAGAAAATTTTCAGATTTTACATCTCGCAGGACAGGATTTTCAGCATATTTTGAAGCGCATTTCTTTGGATATTGCCATATTTAAAGGATTTTTGTGGCTAGCCCGTTCGCGGCTACCCACAATGTAAAGCTAAACGAAGGATGTCAAGATGTGACGAAAATTGTCGTCAACTTCAGAAACTGTCGTTCTTGACATGAGGTGGGTAACCTGCGATCAGGCCTATAAATAAATAAACATCGATCATTTCCGGATTCATTGTGCTTTGGAAATTTGGTATTATATGTTCAATATTTCATCACAACAAAACAACGGAGATAAAGATCAACCAGTTGTCGACAAAACATCAAAGATGAAGGTGAAAATTGTTAAATAGTTAGTGTCAAAGTTCAATTTTTCTGTTTGCTGATTGGTCAAAACCGTGTCACGTGCCGGTCCACAAAACGTCATGTCAAACCGGTCCGCAATGAAACATTTATTGACCGATCAATAATAAAATGGGTGCAATACGCATGCGTGTCAACCGGTGTCAACATGAAGTTCCAAAGTTCATTTTTTAAAAAGTTCTGCGCATACGTTCTGCGCAGGTTTACATTCCAATGGTTGGCACCACAGGCGGCCCAATCTCGCAAGGATCAGTGTAGACTTATAGTATTAATGTATATTATAGTAAAATATGTCATAAAATATAAATTTTAAAATGAAATTGACATGCCTATTTGATAGTGTGTGTTCTCCTTTTATTCCTCCTTTGTTGGACTAATATTTTCCGAGACTTTGTACTCGATGTTACTTGTAGTATACATGAGTATTTATGAAGGATATTCTTTGACGCTTCGTCATTACAACACATCAGAGCGTGGTCAAATATCACATGTACGCAGTGCGTATCTATTTTTAAAAAATAAGGCAATTTACTTTCATTGCCTTTTCTTTTCTTTCAATCATTTCCTTCAATCTTCCGAAATTTCCTTCAGATATGAATTTCCTTATAATTTCCTTCAACTCCTTTTCAACTTCAAAATGGAAGCATTGTAATCGAACAAAAGGAACCCGGGCAACTATGCTATTATGCGGTTAATAGGCCGCAGCCCACGCTATACTGTACAGGGTATCTCAAAAAAACCGCTACCCTTGGAAATTCACCATTGTTCTAATTTGAATGCCTGAGTGCTATCTTGAACTCATGGGTGCATGAACAATTTGAATGGAATTTTTTGCTTGAGAAGTTATTGAAAAGTTTCTGGTTTTGTTCAGCATATGACTGATTGATTTAAACGCAACAAAAATACGTAAGTCAAACAAAACGTTGTTTATTTTTACAATTATTTAGCACCTCGTTCTTCGAGGTGGCCCCCATTTCTCTCAACACAAAGTAATGTTCGTCTATGCATATCACGCACGGCTCGGCTAATGAGGGCAGGCTGTTAATGTCGTAAAGCATCAAACTCTTCGATGATTCTTTGGCGTAACGCATCAATATCGTGTGGTGGAGTGGCAAAGATTTTGTCTTTGAGATATCCCCAAAGGAAATATGCATCCTGTGAAAATGTTTACGCATTCATGGCTTCAACAAGGTTCAGGCATTCAAATTAGAACAATGGTGAATTTCTAAGGGTAGCGGGTTTTTTGAGACACCCTGTATAAAGGAAAGCAATCGAGATCTTCACCAGTTCGTGGTTGGACCTCCAAGTTAAAAGACCTCGCGCAAGTACTTGGAACACTTACAGCTTTTCTGAAGTCAAAATGGTTTTGCTCGTGTTGGTTATAGTACTGGCAGTCGCGGTGGCTCAGGACACTTCGCCTGCAGCTTCTAGCAAGGTGATTTTGCTTTATATAAGATGGTCTATTTAGAACCATCACCAGAGGAATATATAATACCATACATTCATAATACAAACCCAACTCTGCTTTGTTAACGAAGATTTGTCAAACGAAGCCATACGAAGCAGACGTCTATTTCGATGCTCCGTAGAAATTGATTTCAAATCATCAATACGGTTACAGTGAAGGAGATGAAAGACCTTTTTAAGAAAGAACTAACGCCAATCAACAATACTCTACAGCAATTAAGCTCTAATTTAATTTGATGGCTTAAAGAGATTCGGTCAAGTTTCTCTCAGACAAATACGATGATTTTCTTCGCGAACTGCACTCAATGAACGAGAAACATGATTAATTGCAAAGTAAGAATTTAAAGAGAGCTAGAGAAGAACTAAATGAGGCAAAACAACATGCCGCAGAAGCAAAACAGCAAGCCGAAGAACTTGCACAATACAGGATGTCCCAAAAAACCCGAAAACTATTGAAATCACCAATAACAATTTAATCGTTAGAATTTGAATGCCTTAGCACTCTGTACATGTTGGTACCCACAAGTAAATTTTATGCATAAAGAAACTATTTAAGAAGCTGCTTTAAATTCCCATGAAGAGCAGAAAATCGCGCACTTTACAAGGAGATTTCTTAACTAAATTTTAGTACATGCACCTTGTCAATATTTTACGCATCATTACGTTCAGCTTTTTGGTAGGGCATTCAATTTTAACAATAAGTGATTTCAATAGTTTTCGGTTTTTGGGGGACACTCTGTATACTAGAAAAAGGAGACCTTTAGAAATTGAAATAACATTTAAACAAAAGACTGTCTGCTCCTGGGACTGCCATGCATACTGTACGTAGATCACATGTTACGCACTCGTGGGCTTAGCAAAGTGCTCCAGGATTCAAATTATATAAACATATATACAAACTCTTAAGACAGTAAGGTTTCACACTTTTTTCCAATTTGTTATTATTTTCTCATTTCTAGATCCAAACGCTGGAAAAACAAGTAGAAATCTTGACAAATCTTGTCCTTGCGCAATCGAATATCATGGCTATGCGTGAATTTTCAGGCAGTCAAGAACCCTCGGGTTCAAATCCTGCTTCGGAATGCATCTTGAAAAGCCAAGCAAAAAAGATCGCGAAACTCGAGGGGGACTTGAACTCTTTGCAAAGTCTCACAAAAACGCAAGAAAATGACACTCGACAATTACAGACAACTGTGTCAGGTAGTTTTGCAGATATATACTTTTGTAAGAGCCGTGATCTGCAGGACTCGAATCAGCAGGGCTCGATCAGAAAAATGCGAAAACAGTACGGGGAATTGCCATTACCCTAAAGTGTTCTTGTGCTAGCAAACAAACTCGGGAGTTAATTAAATTAAATACAATTATCATACATTTAAATGTAGCCTATAGTTATCTTATATACACTAGATAGTGCATCTAATTATTCTGCAGTGCATTTAATTATTCTGCAATTCAAAAATTGAAGCCGTGATTGCAGACTCGGGATATTCCCATGAAATGAGAAGACTCGTATGTTTTCTATTTCGTAAACAGGGAACTTAAACATTAAGTTCAACCTATTCCATATACATTTTCAAACTATTCAAATGATGAAAGTTATTGTTGTTTTTAAGCGTTTATTAGCGAGTGGGAAACTTCAACATGGCCGCCATCTATTCAAATGGGGGTAACCGCTGGAATATTCTTGGCTTCAATTTTACTAAAGAGATGCGCTATCTAGTGTATATAAGATATCTATGATGTAGCCTGCTCAGCAACATTCTCGTTCCCAGATCTATTTTCACTCGTTGAAAATTAGGCTCTGGGTTAGACGACTAAAGGGAGATATCTGATTCAGGCTTCTCAGCTGCAGAGAACTGCTATTTCGCAGAAGTTGAGCCGTTTTTGCTAGCCAAAATTATTTTATGAAAATATGTCAACACAAATACTTTGTTTCTTCGTAATACTTCTCTGTGAAAATTGTTACGGGTGCTAAAGCGTCCCAATTCAAGAGCATGCGCTTTAGAAACTACTGCAAGTTTTCTTGCACTTCCGGTTCCGTGTATTCCAGGGCGTATGAAGGTCACGCGCGGCCGAGAGGCCCTGGGAACGAGGATGGCTCAGCGCCGCTACGCAGGCTAATTTAAATACAAATACATTTAAATATAATTATCATTATATGCTGTAAAATTGACGCCATATTTATGTAGGTGCAGTAGGTCTATATACAGCAATATAAGCCAAACTTTCTGAACTTCAGACTCCGTTTGGCGTACCATCTAAAAATCTCTTTATATATTTTAGCATAATTTTACAGATAAAACACTAAACATACTTTTTAAGTTCGTTTATCGCTTGAAGACCACTTGAAAAACGTATCAAAAATTTAAAAAATTGAATATAGTCATAATCAAGTGGAAAAGCATATTCATTAGTTTTAAGCCCGTGTTACGTAACATACAAAAGACTCGATCTCCTCTTAATAGATACTTAGATAAGATGTTACTAAGTTACTTGCTTTCTAGATTTATCTCAGAAGCTGAAAACTCAAGGTACCAAATTGACATCACTGGACAACAAATATGCTTCAAACGTTTCCAAACTTGGCTCGGAAATCCAGAATGTTGACAATAAAACCAACACGCTCACAAACAACGTTAATCAACTCGGAACAAAGGTTCAAAAAGTTGCAGGTATGTAGCCTATTTATGACCCAGGCGCTTATAAGGCAATAAGCACTTCAAATAAGCAAGCACTTCAGTGTACGAGGGTACGAGGCTAATATAATCACAGAAATAATTCATCTGAACATCAATAAAATATCATTTCTATTAACTATGGTTAGAGCTAATAAGTCTCTTTCGCTATATAGATCAGTGGCCTTCTGGAAGTTATTGCATCTTGGCCAGCGGTAGTTGCCCACCAGGCTTTTCGCGCCGTAGCGGTTACATGAAGGCTATCAGTCTGTATGCGGGCAATGGACGCTACATAAAGCAGGGGACATTTGGGGATAGTAAGATACAATGTCACGGTGGATGCGGGCAGCATGGTCATTGGACTGGTGAACTGCATATCGATGCTTGCTGCAAATAGACGGACACAGCTTGGTATACATACTAGGAAAATTTTTGGCTAACATATTGGCTAATTCTTTTATATACGTAATTTTTAGTTTTTAGAACTTACTGTAGTATTACCTTTAGTTATATGCATGTAATTTATACATAAACACTGTGTATGTATGGTATATATATCCATGTGAATCTTAAATTAAAACTACTGCAATGCGTTTGACTGGGTTTTTTGTTCAAATTATGTAATAGACAAAATTAGACAACAAAAATATATCGAAGAAACTTCGACGTTTCACGCAAAGGCCCTTTCGGTTTCGGCCCATTTAGGATTTTTTTTGCCTCTAGCCATTTTTAATCGAAAAGATCATAAAATATTTCTAGTGAACTGCGACCACTTTTCCTGGCAATATTAATATCTGTGTAACATGTAATGGACAATGAAATACATGCATTATAGACTAAATTTTGTCTAGACAAAAATTTCATCACAGCTTGAAAGAGCATCACAAAATTAGTAATATTCCGAAGTTTTGTTACGAAATGTTGTAAAATGCGGATAATATAGCCTTGCGAAGTTTGCAATTTTCAGTCCTTTTAGATTACAAACGGGAAATTGATGCCCCAACACCCGATTGGGCTGTCAATTTCCCGTGCGTAATACAAAATGACTGAAAAACGGCAAACTTCGCAAGGCTATATTATCCGCATTCTACAGCATTTCGCAACAAAACTTTGGAATATTACTAATTTTGTGATGCTCTTCCAAGCTGTGATGAAATTTTTGTCTAGATCAAAATTTAGTCTATAATGCATGTATTTCAGGGTTAAATAAATTGATTGATCGTTGTCGTTGCTGTTGTTGTCGTCGTCGTCGTTCGGAACAAGCTGTTAACAACTTGTAACAAGCTTGATGGCATTATCAGACTTGTTACAAGGTTGTCCTAACAAGTCTGATACAGTCGTGACTCATAGTATAACAAGGATGTTACAAGGTTGACGACACAAGGTTGTAACAATACTGCTATATATCATGACTGTATCGGACTTGTCGGAACAACCTTGTAACAAGCCTGGTACAAGGTTGTTACAAATTGTTAAGAGCTTGTTCCAAACTTGTTGACAACTTGTGACAAGCAGTGCGAAGACACTTGTTGACGGCTTGTTGACAAATTTGTTACAAGATGTGAGATTTTGCGTGTGTACCATGTATTAATTTGTAAAATAATAAAAACGATGCACAATATTTTTCGCATCTTTTTCTTCCACAATTTTTCATATTATAGAAACAACACGTCACAATAAGACGTACAAATGTTCTCGGGGGTAACTTGCTAATTCTATGATGTTATTATAAATTATCAAGCAAAATAGTGCCTAGAGGCTTGTCAATTAGAAACGTATGGTTCTGTATGGGACAGCCATAAGCATGCGTCTATTAACTAGTATGGCTTTAAATGCAATTAACATTTGGATACTTATTTCAGCACGTATAGATATTACTGCCCCCTGGTGAAAAAAAAATTGTGTACGCGTAGCCCCCTGCATCAGTTCCTCCGTTTAAATTCTCACTGTAGCATTTCGGTAAACTCTCAACCATAAAATGCATCCCGCCCACACTCTATTTTTAAACCCATTATACACGTACGTCATACCGGGGGAAATGATGCATACCTATATGCAAGTTCCCCTGTGATTGGTAGTAAAATACCTATGAAGACCGATTCTTTAAGGAGTATAAAAACTACCTCCATTGAAGTATTGATCTTACATAAACTTTAATTTCCGGGCTTTTTACTGTTGGTGAATGCATGTATGAGCGTGTCAAAAATTTCCTTAATGTATTGCTAGCTTTGATCAGAGTGAGGGAATGTTATTTCTTTCCACCCTTGTGTGTAGTAGTGCTGTTTTTGGTGACAAATAGACAGATAGAATTGAGATGTAATCACTATAATTCAATTTTCTTTACTCGTTACTTTTCTTTACATCGTCTGCGGCCCCAGCGTAACACTTAAATTTTTGCTTGTTGACATATTCGGCTGTAAAAAAGTTAAAAAAAAGAAAATTAATGTTTATATTCAGTAAATATTTACACAAAAAGGGCAATTTCACTCTCATGCACCAATTGTTTTTGCAAGGGATACATATAATTTTTTTATGAGATCTATATAGAACGAACCATTGTGGCATGTTTAAATTAATTAAACATGATGAATGTATACACATTTCACTGAGATGCGATCCAGCACGTTGGATCGTTTGACGTCAGATACTATACCGCATTTTGAAATTTTATTTCGCATTTCAACATTTTTAAGTCCCGTTTCTATGGTGATATCAACACCTACTCGCTGGGGCTGAAATGCAATTTGTCATGGTTAACATCATAACATATCACATGTCAAAAAATAATCTGGTAATAGGCCGCAACCCACGGGCTATATATAAAGGAAAGCAATCGAGGTCTTCACCAGTTCGTGGTTGGATCTCCAAGTTAAAAGACCTCGCGCAAGTACTTGGAACACTTACAGCTTTTCTGAAGTCAAAATGGTTTTGCTCGTGTTGGTTATGGTACTGGCAGTCGCCGTGGCTCAGGACACTTCGCCTGCAGCTTCTAGCAAGGTGAGTTTGCTTTTGCTTTATATAAGATGGTCTATTTTAGAACCATCACCAGAGGAATATATAATACCATACATGCATTCATAGTACGAATCCAACTTTGCTTTGTTAACATGCTGCTTTTCAACCGGCACAATCAGCGCGCCAGACTGTAGCAACGAGCATCCTGGTACATTTGTGCTAAGTGCATATACATAGGTCGCAAGCTAACGATGCCGATGGGCAAATTTTGGCGAACCCACCATCCCTGTCTTTCGTCGCTGAGTTTAGCACGAATTGAGGCTTAACTTGCCGTTAATTCATATTAATACAGTCCTGGTAACAAATACACATGGCCATGCATATAAACTAATCTGAACCGTTCAGAAACTCTTAGACAACCCTATAATCATTACTATAACCCAAATCCCTAAATCTATTTAAAAGTTTCACTTATGAAATAATTGTGCATGATTTAAAGTGTATTTGTTGAGCTAATGAATATGTATATCAAATTTAGAAAGATTTAGACTTTCCGTACGTTTTAGACTGCGAGCAATCCCTCTATTTCCTTCGTTTTATTGTTTCCCGGACTAAGATCTTCTACTAAGACTGAACGCGCGGGAACGGGAAACAATAAAACGAAGGAAAATAGAGGGATTGCTCGCAGTCTACGTGCGTTAGCGCGACTCGAAGTTATAATTTGTTATCATTTTCTCATTTCTAGATCCAAACGCTGGAAAAACAAGTAGAAATCTTGACAAATCTTGTCCATGCGCAATCGAATATCATGGGTGAATTTTCATGCAGTCAAGGATCCTCGGGTTCAAATTCTGCTTCGGAATGTATCTTGAAAGTAGCAGACCAAGCAAAAAAGATCGCGAAACTCGAGGGAGACTTGACCTCTTTGCAAAGTCTGACAAAAACGCAAGAAAATGACATTCAACAATTGCAGACAACTCTATCAGGTAGTTATGCAGATATATATGCAGGTTAGGGGCGGACCATTAGAAAAGTGATGGGGGGCAAAAGCAAAAATAAAAATCGAGCAGGGGAAACAGAAGAAATAAAAATCGTGCAGAGACTTTTCAATAGGGAAAATTATAAGTTGTGTAAGGCTGGCCCACAAATTTGGATAATAAAATTTTTTTGATATAAGTAATGGTGTGAGAAAAATTTTTCTAAACCTAAATGTTGCAGATATTGGTGCAAAAAACGCGTTTTAAGCATGTTTTAAGAAGAATTTGTCAGGGAAACTGTGTTTGAACCTTAAATGACCTGAGTGTTAGTCCGAAAATATTTTTTGACCCTTTTTTATGTCCTGAAAAAATTTTATGGTCCTGAAAAATTTTTTCTACCTCTCAATTAAAAAAAATAAAATTCGAGCAAGGGACTAGTAAAAAAAATTATCGACACAAGCAAAAATATTTGAAAAAATGATCGTACAGGTTGGAAATGGACCACTCCC